GATCCTATATTGCCACTAAGAGGGTCAACTTTCCTTCATAAGCCTGGGCAAGTGGGGCCTGATGTTCTTTGGACAAGTTCCTCTATGTAGCCCAGTGGATGCACGTCCTCTTCTTATAATTCAAAGACTATGATGGGGACATCAGAGCATGAATCAAGGTGTGGCCGCCGATCTACGGCCACGATCGAGTCGTTGTATTTTTTTTTTTGTTTTAGTCATTTTCATGTATTTGTCATTTATTATGTTATTTGTCTTTTATTATTTATGTTTTAATTATTTTCCCGTTTTACCCCTTTACTTAAAGGAGGTCGTATGTAAGCCTTAAGGGCGTTGTCGTCTTCTTATTTTGAGTCATTTTGTAAGAGGCTATTTATAGCCCTCATGTTGCCCTTCATGAGTTAATGAATGAATATTATGAAATTTCCTTGTCCTTGTGTGTTACACTACAGGAAAAATGTCGAAATCCGGCGGCTTTTCCGGCGATTACTCTATATTAACCGACGGTTTTTTTCCTTACCGGCGGCTTGACGGCGGTTTTTTGACCGCCGGAAAAAATCGCGTAGGAAACTTTCACCGGCGGTTTATTATTGCGGCGGTTTGCCGGCGGCTTTTACCGCCGGTTACAGGCAGATTTTGAACCGGCGATCTTCCGGCTGTTAGACCGCCAGTTATTTGACCGACGGCTTACCGGCGGTAAATATACCGACGGTTTGCCGGCGGTTTAGTTGGCGTCGTTTGTTTTTGAAACTGCCGGAGGGCGCCGGTAGACCGTCGGTCTTTTACCGGCGAACGCCGGCGGTTCAACCCGTCGGTACAACCGACGATATAAACCGCCGGCGAACCGCCGGTAATAAACCGGCGGTTTAATGCCTTTATCGGCGGCTGATTATTGGCCGTCCGGTATCGTAGTTTCCGGCGGCCAAACCGTCCGGTATCGTTAAAAGCCGACGGCCAGACTGCCGGCTATGCCGCCGGTAAAACCGACGGTCCATAAACCGCCGGTTAGAACCGCCGATATTGGGCATTTTTCCTGTAGTGTTAAGAGTGCTTGAGAGTTCTTGGAGAGAACTTTGGAGAAATCCCTAGGAGAGGGAGATCGGATCACCCACCAACCTTGGAGACGGCCGGGTTCGTGGTCTTTCTTTATCTTTCCTCCTCCCACCACCACCACCCGGACATCATTACACCCAAACCCTTCTCCATCTCCACGCCATCGTCTCCTCCCAATTGAATTCCCCCCACCTCCTCCACCACAAGCCGTCGGCCACCTCACCCGACTCCTCCTCCCTCAACGTCACGGCCCGAGCCTACACCCGACCTTCCCAAAACCGCTGGCCAAAGACTATAACCGCCGGTCACATTCAAGACCCTTTCCCCTCTTGAGTTTCCTACTTGGGTATGAGATGATTTGGGATTATTTTGAATTTCAAATCCTTGAATTTGAATTTCAAAATCCTGCCTAAAATAACTCATCTATTTTAGAAAAGCTTCTATTTTAATCTAATTTGAAATTCAAAATTCAATTAGATTTTAATTAAACCTTTCCTAATTCTAAATCTGAGTTAATAAACTTTATTAGCTCTCATTAATCTCCCATTGATCAGAAATCCCGCCGGCTCCCTGTGGAGACCAGTTAAGATTTCTTTCCTAATTCCAGTTTATGATTTTAGAAATAATTTTTAAATTCCAAAACCTCTGGCCGAATTTTCCAAACCATATTCCGTAACTTAGTCCCTGAATCCACTCATTGATTTAGGGAATTAAAAGGAAAATTCCCTCATCCATCCCGTGTATCCCGTCGTCCCCTCTCTCTTCTGCTTGGATTTGTTTTCAAATCTCAAAACTTCTTCCAAGGAAAAGTCTGAGAACAATTCAGGTTTGGCGCTTCTCACTTTTCCAAAAACTGAAATTAAATCTCCCCCATAATCATCTACAGGCCGAGATCTCTCAAAACCCTCACGTGGACTTTCCTGCACTAAACTTTCTTCAAATTCCTGACAACGTGGATCCCTCTTCCTCCCAAGGCTGACGTTAAAAATTTCAGCACTAGCTTTACTTCTTCCACCCTTGGAAGACCTTTAACTGCTGTTTGGAAAATCCAATTGGCTGTCCACATCTTCCAACCTTATTGACGTGCCGTCCGGCATCTTTGAAGGCCCAAGATTGCTGTCCAGAAATTCTGGACTGTTTTGGTGGCTGCCTTGCCCCCCGGAGGTCATAGTGTGCTGTCCAAGAGCATCATTTGGTTGTTTAGAGAAACCAGTCCAAAGATATTTTGCTATCCACCCGCCGGAGGTTATCTAACTGCTGTCCCAAGGAAGCTAGAGGTTGCATGTGGCTATCTACTTCCTCTCAAGCTTATAAACACCACACTGGAGCTTTGTTCAACATATTCTTTGGGTGAACTTCTTCTCCTTTTTATTTACTTTTCTAATCTCTCTAATCATGTAGGTGATGGAGATTCATAAGGAGCCGAGCTTCACCTTTGCCTAAGCTTAGTAAACGTAGGATTGAGTGCACTTTTATTTGCTTCTAATCTTATTGTTAGATTAGGGATTTTTGTTGGAAACTATTCTATTTGCATGACTTGATTTTCTATGTTGTTTGATAATCCAAGTGCTTAATGTGCAACTTAGCCTAAACGGAAGTGACCACTTTTATGTTTTATTTGATCGTTTGAATTTGCTAATAGTTCTAATTTTAATTGCTATTATCAAGAAATCGTGCAAATTCTTATTTCATCATTTTAAAGCATTTAGTTCTACATCAGACTACATGTTAAATATCTGTGAAGTCATATGCGGATATACACTTCTATTAGGGCTTGATGAAATGACATGTTTTATGTATTTTTTCTTCTTCTGCCTTTATTGTTCAATCCATTTTCATGGGGTTTATTTAAAAATGTGAGGCCACCATCATTAGAGAAGATGATATTACAAAATAATGAACTTAAATTTGATATCCTACAATTATAATAGAGCTTGTTAGATTTATAGTTTCGGGATAATGATAGTACATATATGGTATTAGTCAGACTTCGATAGTTGAATAACAATATTTAGATGATAATCGTAAGATGGCTTGGTGATGGTTGTTAAATAACATAGATTGAATGAACTTTAACAATCAAGCGACATTAGTCAAACATGAATGCTTGGAAGAGATAATCGACCAATAACAGTAGCTAGTAATGAATGTACATGTTGAACATCAAACAAAGATCTATAGTTCTTCAAATCTCAAATCTCATTACAAACTCAAGGCAGATGTTCCCCATATAAAGATAAGAATCTATTTATAATATTTTAGGAGTTACATTTTAATAAATAAAGTCAATATAATATAACACTTCATCAGATGACTTATATTAAATTATTTAATCATAATTAATTATTCATTCAACATTAAAGTACCTTAAATTAAAATATGTTAAACACTATCTTTTATATGCATATTACATCCTCTTTGCAAGCTCCAAGGAATCTCTATAAAGAATATTGAACTATCCTAAGTAGAGTTGTGGGAAAATCCATCTCTCAATTCTTATTTGGTAGGATCTAGTTCTATCACCTAAAATTGCCCCAATCCATCTCTCAATTATTTTTTTTTCCAAAGTAGAATTGCTTAGAAAAATCTTTAAGTTAATATTTGTCAATGATTCCTCCACTGCATTGCCATCGAAAAAAATGAAGCATCAAATGAGTAATTTTTCTAGAGTATTTGATATCATTGATAAGAGAGTTTAGTGACATATTGACAATCACCCTTTTTCTTTTAGACAATTAATGTACCCTCATATTGACTTGATCAATTCATATCCATAATGACATCAAATACAAATAGAGGTAATACTATGAGACCTTACATCCACTTCCTATCAGACATTGTTAGCTCACAGACTAACTGCCATAAAATGAAAGGCAACAGTACAGAAGATAAATGTAGTAGAGTAAAATGTCTTAGAAATAAAGGAATGGCTAGCACTCGAGTCAACCAAAACTTTACATGGCGAGATAGCAATAAAAGCACAAGCCCTATCAACCGTATCACAAAAGTAAGATCTATCTTGAGAGAAATTATTCTGTTCAAACACCAGTCTGTCCGAATGCAAATCAGAACGTTCCACGTCACCCAGTACACAACCGTGATACACAATAAATGGGTGATATGATACATTCTGATACACATCCAGACATCGTCCGTACCCATACTGAATAATTTTACCTATCTTGATCTTTGGCAGACCTAACATAATATACTTTAGAGATAAAAAGTGTTAGTTTAAAAATAGATTTAATAATTCAAAATATAGAAATGGGAAACTACCATCCATCATTAGCACTGCAACAAATTTATCTTTTCATTCCTCTACTTTCAGCGAGAGCTTACTAAGAATTATGTTTTGGATTCCTAATGAACATCCTTCATCACTTATTTCTAGAAGCATTTGAATAAGCACTTTTAGAAAACTTCAAAGGCTTTTCCATCTGACAATCACTTGCCTTCTTATCAAAAAAATATTTAAAAAGAGAGGAATAATTTTCAAGCAGTGATAATTCAAAACGTAATTGTTCCTTTATCTTTTCATACAAAAAATTTAGAAAATTATTTTAAGAAACAGTAAAAACAATCATCACAAATGAAACCTAAAACTCTCCTAAAACTTTTTAAAATCATTGTAAAAAGTAACTTTTTCATACACTTTTTTTTTTAAAAGTAACAAATAATAGCCAAAATTTTTTATAATTAGGTTTAAAAATAAAGTAGAGCTGTAAAAAAAGGGTCTTAAATGAAGGTGAAATTATTCCATGAGGAAATGGATGCCGTCCGGAGGCGAATTAGAACCTGCCATGTCGCCCATTTGCTGTATATCATGGCTGTGTACCGAGTGACATGAAGCATTCTGATTCACCTCCAAACAATCCGGTGTCCGCACAGAATAATTTCTTTGAAGCCTTAGTTTTGTTGTAGTGGCATCATTAACGATTATGAAAGCATTAAAAAAAAACCAGCAAGTCATTCAAGCTCCAAAAACTGTTCTCCAGCAAAAATGTAATCACAAATTTTAACTAACTTGAAAGATGCAGGAACCTCAAAATAGCTTCACACCAGCATCTCTTACAGAGTCGATGACAGCCTTAACCTTTCCATGGTACTTCTGCTCTCTCTTGAGGAAGATGGCGACTGCCGGAATGTTCCGGAACAGAAGCCTCTCCCCGAGGATTTTGCCGATCTTGGCTGCTGCAGCTACGTCTCGGGTCGACTCCATGGATGGCCGAAGCAGCTTCTCCTGCGAGCTTGCAGAGGCAGCCACAGTGGCAGTGGGGGTGTGGACGACCTGTGCACTCACATATTTATTAGAGAAATGCATCCGAAGTACGTATGGTTTGAGGAACTTGGTCACTGGTGCTGGCCTAACTGGGGGTGGGATTACCATTGTTGCCTACAGTTGGCAGAAACTGTAGAGTTAGCTTACGGTGAAATATGACTTAGGCTTCATTTGATTTATTTGCCGTTTCAGTTTCAAAAACATCACCATGAGAAATGGAGTTTTTGAAACGGAGAAGCTAATATATAATGCTTGTCAAATCGAAATAGAAATGAAGTTTTTAAAAAAAATTATCTTACATTTCGTCAACTGATTTCTCCGTTTCAAACCGAAAAACGGAGGAGAAACGGGGAACCAAACGAACCCTTAGGCAATAACTCCATTTTTTCATTTTTCTGCTGTTTTGAGAAAGCTTTTTATATATGCTTCTCCGTTAGAAAACTCCATTTTCAGAACTAATATTTTTTAAAACTGCCTTTTACAAAAGCACAAAAAATAAACAAACGAAGCCTTAGTCTATAACAAGCAAGTTGAAAATAAATAAAAAAATAAACTATAGAGAGAAAAATGAATTCATCAAAATTTTACTCTGTGATCCTTTTTCATCATCAAATATCCACTAAAAGACATTATATTGTTAAAAAATAAAAAGGCACCAAGAAATTAAACCCTAGTTTAAGTGATTTTAGATAAGATTGGTTCCGGAGTGTTGGGAACCTTGGCAACAGCAGGGAGAAAGAGAAATGTTTTAAAACCAGGGATGCTGATGTGACTGAGAAATAGAAGAATATTTTAGGTTATGATCAAAGGAAAATCAATCTACAATTAACAGTCTAAACAAAATATAAATTACGATTTGAATAACCCTCAAATTAGGTATATTTTTTTTTTCAAAGTTGCTTTGAATCAGGTTTGAAAACATTCACAAAAAAGTGTGGATGTGTTGGTCGAAGTTCTCAAATCAAGCTATTGTGTTAGTTAAGTTAATTGAAGACAAGCTCAATGTCTCATAGATTACCAGCACTAGAGAAGTGGGAGTTAGCTTTTTGTTCTAAAATTGCTTCAACCTCCATTACCGAATCCTAGCTTCCACATGTTCCAAATGGAGCAAACTCTAGTATCTGTAATGAAGTTGAAAACAACTAAAATAATGAAAAAGAGATACAAGGGTTTATAAGGGAACAGTGTTCTCGTTGATGATAAGGGAGGAGAATGAAGATGCAAGACTACACAAGGTTATGAAAGCGATTCTTAATACCAGTGATGAGACAGAAGGTGGGGAAGGAATTTGAGGCCATTAGACTTAATGTACTGGCAAACCAATATTCACTCAACGCATAAGGAGAGCAATCCAAGACTCAGAAAAAGTACTAGTCCGCAGGCGTTCTACGCACAACTTTTTTTTTTTTAAAACGCACAACTTTATACAACAGCAATTTGTGGAACATCAAATGAGAGAAATATTCACAATCACAAAAGGTCGTAACTAAATGGCGAAAATTTCTATTGGGTACAGAACTTACCATACGAACAGATCATAGTATATACGACTTAATGTCATAGATTATTCAAACTTTAAAGCAAACATGATTCTTAGGTTTCGCTTGGTTCTTCCTTTCCTCTTGTAAAAGGTAGTTTTAAAAATAATGATCAAGGGAATAGAGTTTTTTAACGGAGAAGTAAATATTAAAAAACTTCTCAAAATAGTAGAAAAATGAAGTTCCCTAAAAGGCATTTATATAGAAGCATCTCATCCAAATAGTGACCAAAAAATAATTTCGCTGTTTAGAAACGGAAAAGGAAAAAAAAAACGCCGAAACAAACGAGGCCTTAGTCAATTTATTTGGCTATGATTTTTCCATGAGTACGACTAAAGTATGACTAAAAAGGAAACTAATGTTCTGTCTCATAGAACTAGAAAATGCAAAAATGACACTAACCATTAGTGTCCATATACCTTACCTAATGGAGCAGATAAAGACAGAGATAGCAAGAACTTTAAAACGGTCCAATTGGCTGAAGCTAACCAAGTAAACCCTGAAGAATAGCCACATGTCATCCAGGATGACTTAGATTCACACTTAACGGAACGATTGTGCTAGCAACTGATTCACCACTAAGGAAAGCCGTCCTATAGGAATATTATTCAAGGAATAAAGGATTTAGAAGAACTTTGCATCACATCACAAAACACTTCTATTGGCCTCAACTAAAACATGATGAGCAAAAATTTATCTTAAGTTGTACTCATGGAACCAGCCTTTAGCTGCCATTGTACTTCTCCAACCAATGCCAATATCAACTGCAGCATAGGACTTAGACATGGATTTTATCTAGGGGTTGCTAACATCCCACAAAAAGGTACCAACCATGGTAGTGCTCACAAAATTCACACAATTCTCTACCATCCCACCCCAATTCACAGTAGCTAAAGTTGCGGTAATTTTCATCACAGAGATTTGCAAGCATAACAAGGTGCCAAAGTCGATAAGATATTATCAGGACAGGGTGTTATCAACCATCTTTGGAAAAAAATCACATTACAACACTTCTCACCATCCCAAAAAATGATGGATATATTTAAGTAGACAAATGAGGGTTATGTAAATACCTATGATGCTTTGTGATGGGTTATGGACTCAATTTCTGCCATGGTCAAAATTTTCTTACAGTACCTGCTATCATATTTCAATAGTAACCACTCCATTACAAGGCCTACATGAAAGGTTACCCCAGCCGTATATAAGCATGTAGGAGAAATATTCCATCGAAGTAGCTGGAAGTAGTTGATGAGCTGCTAAAACGAAGGGACAGTGGAGTTCACAATCTTCAAGACCATCTATACCGAACAATCGAACATAGCATTGCATGAAGCAACAAGCTGACAAACAGTGTAGAGAATTAGCTTTCCATGCGGGAGAACTAGCCCTGGTAAAACTGCAGCCATACATCCAAATTTCAATTTGACAACAATCATATTCCAAAATGACTAATATGATACTTATCGAATTCTAGAATGATTTGGAGCAATTTAAGCAATTTAAGCAATTTAAGTATTGGATCGACTAACCGCTAGTCACATATACACACTATTTCCATTTATCCTAAACCTTAAAGATTTAAGGTTGCATCTAGCCCATCTCCCACCAAAATCATAGAAAAATTATCCACCAGTAAACCCGAAAGCCATTCTTAATTCCTGAAAAAGTCTCCAACATTGAATAAATGGAGTTCTAGCACCTAATTGATTGTGAAGAGTTAACACAAGAAGATCCCAACAGGTTATCAAGAAGGATTTCCTCAATGTCTTTCCTAATCTCGGCCTTGATGGAAATAAGGTGCGACATAAGCCAATATGAAGAAAAAACAAACTCCAACATGGCATAGGGACTTCCACATAGTGAAAGGTTAAAATGAGGGATATTATTGTGGGTGGGAGAAATAGATTAGTAAAGTTCTTTTTTAGTATTCATCTTCTTCCTTATCACATTTCCATAGTTGCAGGTATCCTTTAATTCTCCAAGGTCCTTTACTCTAGCATTCAGTGTCCTTAAAATTGATCCTCATACTAAATTGAAATCTAATTTGTCTAAGTAGTTGTTTAAGAACCAATGCCTGCATTACTCCAAGAAATTTCAAAAAATATTGCCTCCAAAGCTTCAACATAACATCTTACAAGCTAAAGAATGACTCAATTTAATAACATATCATCAACAATGAAAGTAACATCAACACCTTTCACTATATATCTTCTTCCTTACAACATTTCTGTAGTTGTAGGTATCCTTTAATTCTCCAACGTCCTCAACTCCGGCATTCAGTGTCCATGAAATTGATCCTTTTACCAATTTGAAATCTAATTTGTCTAGAAGTAGTTATGTAAGAACCAATGCCTGGGTTACTCCGAGAAATTTCAAAAAAAGGGACTCCAAAAGCATCAATATAACATCTTACAAGCTAAACAATGACGCAATTTGATAAAATATCCTCAACAGTGAAAGTAGGATTAATGACCATATCAATTGACAAAATACATATAATTGAAGTCCAAATTTTCTAAAATAAGGGAACTGAGCAACTTGAGCTCAATCTTGTTTGCTAAAACCCTACTTAAGCTTGGCTAGAATTCAATTCAAGTATATTTTATAATGTTTGAGCTTGGCCTGCGTTTGTCTCAAATATGATTATCAAATCATTAATAAGTCAAACAAAAGTGCATTAATCAAGCCTCTAAATGAGACTATATTATCAAGTGGCTTGTTGGCTAAACAAATAAGCCTATAAATGAGAGCCGCCTATCAAACTTGGTAATAAGATTTTAATTGAGCAAACTACAAAACAAATGCTTTGAATGAGTAGCAAGCATGCTACTTAAACAAACACTTTACTGAGAATGAAAAAGTAGATTGCTCGTATGACCAAAAACAATCAAAAGAGCTAAAAAAATACCTTAAATGACTTACAAACAAGCACATATGTCTAAATGAGCATGCACAAACTTGTTCTCATGAGCAAAAGCAAACTAAAGGAGATAAATAATACCTTAAATGATACTATGAATGAAAACTTAGATGAGCTTATAAATAAGCATATTTGACCATACATGCATGAACAAGGAGCTTGTGTTAATGAACAAAAGTAACCTAAAACTCTAAAAGAGCTCAATTTAGTTCTATCAATAAGAAAATGCAAATTCGGGGCCACTTTTGTAATTTAACCATCAGCTAAAACAAAAGAACTTTTGATAAAATTATATACAACAAGAAAATTTACAACCATTAAGCATAAAATTAAGATTTATAATATAAATAATATCAAAAATGGCATTTCCACATGCCATGCATTTGATAATAGTAGCACCCATAATGGAAACGGCAGCAGCAATAAGGTTCAATTAAGAGAAGAGGCCATACAATTCTAAACGAAAGAAACAACCACCACCATCATAAAAAAATGGACACAATGGCAATAATTCTTTAGCTTCATTCTTGTTGCAATTTGTGGTTCAGCCAGTTAAACCAAGAATAAACAAATTAACTCCTCTTTAGGAAGATTATGATAAGTGAATAATTAAACTTAGTCAGATGAATAAAATATGACCATGTAAAAATAATAGGTGAATTTTGAATAACGTCTAGGTTATGATCATTTCGTTCTTTCTTCTTTCTTGTATTTAACCTTATTGATATCTCTTGTTATTTTGCTTTAATGAGCAGGTCTTGGCACTCAACTTTTAATAAAAAAGGGTATAAAATGACTAAGGATGAATTAGATTGGCATAAACATAATGACATTGAACCTACTAAATTCTTGCAAATATGTAAATTCATGCAATAATAATAATAATTAATGAGTTAGCTAAGACAAACATCAGTTCACTGCTTTATACTACACTGTAAATATCATTGAAATAGCTGTGGAAATCGAAATGCAGTTACATAAAATAAATAAGAAAAGCTCAGTAAACAATAAAAATTACATAAAATAGACATTTTATGAACTTAAGAGGTATAAACGAGTTGATCGAAGCTCGAGTCACCAAACTCGAGCTTAGTCAAGCTTGTGTGCAAAGCTCAAACTCGCCATTTTCAAATAACTATAAACTCAAACTCGACACAATAGCTCACTAGAGAAGGTAACAAAGGTGTGGAAGTTTGCTTGAGAAGACATTGCAATTAGAGCTGCCCAGTTATGCGTCAACAGCGACGCTATGATGGGAGCTCACTAGAGAAGCATCAATAGCATGGTAGCCCACTCGAGAAGGAAATTACAATGTGATCTCGTTGAAGAAGGCATCAATAGCAACAATACACAAGTAAAAGTTAGGTTTTGAGAAAAGAAAATAGGAGTGGGTGATTTCATTAGGGCAATACACAGGATTGCAATTCCCGCATGAATGTGAGTGGCGATTCACGACTTAAGAAGCACAATGAGGGATTTTGAAATGTTGAATCGAACTGGGAATCATTAAATGGATATTCAGACTTTAGACAGGAGCCAATTGATTGTTAATGGAATGACTCGAAAAGCTAACAAGCCGAACCAAGTTAAGTTGAAGCACAAGTACATATAGTATATAAGCTTAAATTTGAGCTCAAGTTTAAAAAAAAGTTCAATTTATGGGCTCGTTAATGAGTCGAGTTCGAACTGGCTAGGCTCACTTACATCCCTAGATAAGATATAATAATTAGCTTAACAACAAACTATACATTCTCCAATATGTTAAACACTAACAGTTTCCAAGAATGTGCAAAGAATATTTGATTTGAAAACATGAAGCAAATCATTAACTCATGCCTCAAATTTGTAAACATGAACTTCATGCATGTAAAGGCAACCTCAAGGATACAATTATTAGGAGAATTTTTACAAATTGTAAGAATTTGCACTTGAAATCAAAATGTACAAATCTAAAAATTTATTATATAATACTAAGCTTATCATGTTTTCAATTATAACTATGCATGCATAAGATGCTAATGGATTTCACTTGCCCTGCTAAAACTCTCTACACATAAAATCATTAAATTTTCATGATTGTCTCCATAAGTTTCTTACTCCATTTTCACAAATGAAAAAAGATATTCCTCTTTCAAAGTTGAGAGCATTTTAACTTGCACTAGATAAAATTATGCAAAAAAAATAGCCAACATACTTAAAAAAATGCTTGAAACTTCAACTTGCTCCTAAATCATGAAAAAGGAACAAAAAAACATCCAATGTTGTATAATTTTTAGATGCAAATAAATATGGATTTAGACTATTTGAAGGAGAACAAATAATGTAGCAAATTCATAATGTAAAACCAAGAAAGATAATACCAAAGATGGAGCACTTAGAAATTAAAGTATGAATCTTTGAAATCAACCATGGCAAAAGAAATCTCACAAAGAAAGTCATGAAAAATAAGCAACAGACATAATGCAAGAGTAGAAATAAGTGCTTGAAATCAAATTGAACAAAACTGGAGTTTCTCCAATAGAAAAAAAAAAAACCCTAGATGGTCGACTACCTTTGATACTCTGTGATCAACTTGAAAAAGGAACCCTAAGCAATTGCTATGGACGAAGGAGCGGCAAACAGATAGAGGAATGACATACAACAAGTGGAGAAAGCTAACCTTGACTAACGAACAAGTGAAGTGTTAATATAAACAAAAAGATAATTTTGTATTAAGAGAAAATAGAGTCATTATAAGTAAAAATTTATAAGCATAAATAAAAGTATTAAAATTTCATTGCATCAAATATATTTTTTAATAATCTTTCAACAAGGAAAAAAAATATTAACTAATAAAAACGAAATGAAAAAACCCAACAACATAAATTAACTCAAGATGTAATAGAAGTTTAAATGATGAACTATAACATAAACATAAATATCACATAAATAAAATAATTACTGCTGAAAGTTTACTCCTATATTGACCATCCAACAACTACTTTGATAGAATTTGCTGATAAAAAAATTTCCACCAATGACTTTAACAAGAAAACTCAATAAATAACTCATATTTATTAACACATGAATGACTTCATGTAGAGCATGTATTATGAGCAATAAAAGGTGCATGATTTACTTGTTAATTATAATTTCGATAAATTTTTGCCTTAGAGTTTAAGAAAAACAAAGAAAGGAGGAAGTTGAAAAAGTAGAGGAAGATGAACTCGTAATTGATGAACTCCAAAAAGCAGCTGGACACGTGTTTATTGAAGGAAGACAAGGCTAGGACATGCAATCATCAGTTGCAAGGGAGAATGGTTTGATGTAAAGAAAGGGAATCGATTGAGAAAGAGGAAGCCAACTTGGATTAGAGAAAGGGACAAGTTGATGGGATTTGAGCTACTGGTATGTTCGCATGAAGAATAGGTTTAGTTTCAGCTGGACTATCACACATTGGTAATTGTAGAAGATTGGGCATCGGCTCTATGGAATTAAGCAGTTGTGATGAATTTTGTGACATACCTTTCAAAAATTGTAGTGAAATATACAACGTTAGTGGTGAGTGTAGCTGCTCCTACACAAGCAAACAATAAACATCATTCTATCAGTTTTAAGCTTATGATACTCAAATAAACGCAACAAGAAACTAAAATTATCAATTTTAAGCTTAAATCAGCCCATGCTGCTCAAATATAATTTAGGATGACATGCCAAAGGTCATTCTTTCAGAGAGGAATAACTACTTGTAATTGTAACAAAAGCAAGTAATATATACAAATGAAACGTACAATGAAAAATATCTTAGATTAACAAAAAGTATCAAACATTCTAAAAAGTACTTAAAGAACCCAAACTATCCAATATTTATTAAGTGAAATACTAACAACTAAACCTCAATAACCTCCAACAACAAAAAGAAATGATAAGTTAAAACCACCCACTCCCTCTCTAATGTTTTTTTTTTTTTTTCTCTAGAAAAATGAATTTAAGAGGTGCTCTCCACCTCCGTTAATTCTTCACACTTGAAGCAAAATAAAAACAACTCCCCCTGCTACTTTCATTTTCATCTCTGTGAGAGTTGAACACACACCCTAACTGCACTTAGTTTTTCCTATCATGATTATACCCACATCCTATTTTAAACCAGCGATTTCTCTGTTGACCTTTATGGCTCTAGGAGCCATTATATGCAGGAGAATGTGGAGAAGGCTGAAAGTGGCCACCTGTAGTCCTTGCATAAAATTTCACCAATTTGATCTAAATTTCTTGATTTAAAAGAAAAAAAAAAGTTTAAGATGGCTAAGGCAAGATATTTGTAGCTTAATTTTGAAAATTTCAGACAAAATCGATTTTCAAACAACTGCTAAACTATGCTTATTACAGTGTAGAGGCTAAACGAGCTAAGGAATCAAATTAGGGTTATGTGAAGAAACATGCAAATGGAGGAGACACAGAATAATCAACTTAGATTTAGTAAATAGAAAAAAAAAAATCATCACTATGGGGGTGTTTGGTATCGGATTTATTTCGAGTTTTTAGTAGGATCTACGGTAAATCCAGCCAAACGCAAAAAAAAAGTCGCGGTAAATCCGGCAAATCCGTGAATCCCGGATTTGCGGATTTACGGCATAAATCCGCTAAATCCCGGTAAATCCTAATCCCGCTAGAAGTCGGATTTACGGGATTTGGCCGAAGAAGCGCGCGAAAGGGAGAAAGTTACCTTCACAGCGAGCGAGCTACCGTCGTTGCTTCAGATCAAAATGTTGTAACGTCCGAAGAAACGACTCGTGCAATCTCTGCACACAGTTGAACAGCAACGAAGGAGCCGAAGAAACGACTCGTGCAATCTCTACACACAGTCGAACAGCAACGAAGGAGCCGAAGAAACACGTGCAATCTCTACACCTGCGAAGCAACGAAGCCCAACAGCAAGAACGAAGAAGAAGAGAAGATTAAAAGCAAACCTAGACGCCTCAGCCATTACTCGTTAACTTAATTAATATAATTTTAAAATATTAATAACTAAGTAAATTAATTAAATAATTAATAGTATAATTAGTGTATAAATTAATTATCTAATTTAACTATAGTTTTAAACTATAATAAATATAAATACTTATATTATATTTTTATCATTTAATGATAATTAATATTCATATCAAATATTAATTAAGATTTTTATCATGAACTTCATATCAAATATGAATCAAGCTTCTTGTTAAGCCTTGTATCAAGTATGTTATGAGTTTCTAACAATGTTATTCATGAATATAAATGAGCCGAATACATAGTTGTTCAAACTTGCTTATTAAAGCATCAAGTATTTTAAAAAATGTCAAGCATGTTTTATTATCTAATTAAATGATCACAAACGAGCTATATTCGAGTCGAGCCTCAGCTAACTGGTCGAACACTTGATTAGTTTATAGCCCTACCACTAACCATAAGTCCTCACCTTATCTTCCTTCAAAAACCGCGAGTTCGACGGCAGGTTCATGCTCCACACTTCTACTTCTTCTTATTCATTTCATTTTTTTTTTTAATTTAGGCAAAATTTTATGGAACTATAGCTAACTTGTAAATAGTGCATTTTTTATTGATCATAATATATATGTTTTAATAAATACAATTGGTTAAATTTTATTGACCATAAGAACACTTGAAAGCTTACAGCCCTGCAAACAAGTTTGATTTTGTAAACATAGCGTATGGTTACTCGAAGAATTATGAATATGTTTGGAATAATTTTTTTATTATTTTAATTTTTAAATTGTAATCATAATTTTTATTTGGCTATTATTTTTTTACTACTTTTAAAAAAAGTATGTATCAAAAATTTTTTTTTATAATAGATTTTTAAAAATTCATGATAATTTTATAACTATCTTTAATAAAACTTGGAGCTGCCCCAAAAAGACTATATAACATTTTATTTATTTTATAATCATCATATCATTGGCTCAAGACCAGCTTGAACAAAGTCACTAATTTTAAAAATTATTTTATAAGCTTGAACAAAGTCCCTAAACCCTAATATTTTTGTATGACATTAAGATTTTGATGTTGTATAAGTAAATATCAAATTTCAAAATGTGAAATATATAAATAAATAAAAATTACGTGATGCATATATAATCCCTCATTAATTATATAATCACATGTTAGGCTTATTTAAGATTAATTTGAGAAGTGATTTGAACTTGTTAGATTGAAGAGAGAGAAATAGTTTTTTTATTGAAAAAAAAATTCTGAAAATGTGTCTAAATTAATTTAGCATAAACCAACAAGTTAGAGTCCTCATGATTGCAAGAAAACAAGGGAGAGGAGGTTTGAACCTCTCAAATAGGAAAAATTAATCGGTGCGGTCACCGAACAGCGTTCAAAGGCGAATAAGAACGTGTCATGTCATTTTTTTGCTATGTTTCGCTTGATACCGGATGACGTGGCGCGTTCTGATTTGCTTCTGGACGGTTCAGTGACTGCACAAAATAATTTCTCCTGGCAATAGCTACATTATACATACAAGGAGGGCCTTGGGTGTGAGATTGCAGTTGTCAATATCTATACAATACCCAAGAACTACAAATTTAGACCACTAATGCTTCAAATAAAGGTTCTGCCACACAAAACGAGGGAACCTGAAGCTATTCTCTGCCTCTGCTCCCACATCTCTACAAGGAGGTCCTCTCTTCGCTGCAGCTGAAGATACTCATCCATGTCAAAGGAAGAGCATCTTTCTGGGACAATGGAGTTGTTCCTCTGGCTTTCAGCTGTAGCAAGCCTGCTTATATTAGCTAATTCTCCAGAAATGGCACGAATTCCTTCATTGCTTTCAGGGCTCCTACTCCCACTAACACTATCTAAATTCTGAAGCAGAGCATGAATAAACTAGTCAGACTCAATACAGAGAGACTAAAAGTACAAGTGAAAAAGGGAAAAATTTATTTGGTGCGGAGTTCGGGCCTAGCTCTACGTCCGGACTCCAATTAAATTTTGAGAAGTATAGCGGACACGTGGATATTTAATTGGATTTCATTTTTTTTTTTGGGTCATTTTATTATTCATCGTGGCATTTCCCTGCTCACAAAGCAAAAGCACAATAAAAGGACAACAACAAAAAAAAGCGTAGGAAAAGTGCAACAAAAGCACAGTGAATTAAACATTGTAAAATTCTAGAAAATTTTCCTTACAAAAGAGTGCAGTGAATATCCACGTGTCCAAATTTAATTAGAGTCCCGAAGTACAGCTATGTCCGGACTCCGCACCAAATAATTTCTCGAAAAAGGGAAGGTATAGCTAGGCTAGTAAAATGCAAAATGCAGCAACATTGACTGGGAAAACCTGTAAATGTATTCGCATGAAATGTATCCTCTGTCGTGATGCAGAAGAGGGGGATTTAAGGTTATAACAATGGTGAAAGCAATTCATTATCACTGGTTTATTCAAACTCTTCAGTTTTAGCTTAATGAATCTTCATCCTCTATCTATTCCTGTTATGTGTTGTTGTAAACATATTCTATGCATATCTTTTTAAACAATTTTTCTATGTTCCCTATAGGTCTACCCTATGATGCACCGACATTTCTCCTCAAAGAGGCGTGCAGTGTCCGACACCGTATCTGACACGACACTCGCCCGACACTCTTCCGACACGTGTCGAACACGCCAAAAACATGTCCGATTAAAAAAATATTAAATTTAAATACAAATTGGACACGCGTATCTTAAATATTTTATGAAATTTTTTTAAATATAATTTGTTGTATTTAGCGGGATTTAAACAAAATTTCTTATTTCTTATCCACAACACCAAATCAACATCCGCACTTAATACTCATACATCGAATATTCTCATTTTCATTTCTTTTTGGCAGTGAAGGTATTTTCATCTCCTCTCTCGGTGACTAATAAACGGCATCAACGCCTGACTCTCGATATGCTAATACTAATCATTTTAAGCACAAATTCTAGTTAAATGACTTATTATTTTTAAATTATTTTTAAAATTATACTTATTTAATTTTTATACACTATTTTTTAAATATAAAAACTATAATATCGTGTCCAACCCGTGTCTGTGTCGTGTTGCCGTGTCTGTGCATCATAGGGTCTACCCATTTTACATCCTAAAGTCTTCAATGCTAACTAAGCTATTTAAATAATTGGTGCATTCTCTATCTTTTTTATATGGTTTCAAATCATCTAAATTTATTTTTCACTATCTTATCTTTATCAGGATTCATATCATGATTGTTCGAAATGACTCTTAATAGGACACAATAAAGAAAAAAGATTCATATAGCCTACTCTACATGGTGGGATAAAAGCTTGATTTTGCCATTGTATCTTATTTTTACTAAGCAATATTACTAAGAAATTGATTCCAACAGATCGTTTTCATGATATAAAGTATCAATTACGAGACAGAAGAATAAAAGATAAATAATCTGTGGTAGAGACACTGATACCTGCTTAATGGCCGTCTTACTTTTACATGGTGAAGGAGAGGAAATAGTACTAGCTTCCCACTGCAACCACGGAAAAAGGACACCATCTGTCTCAGAAGGTAAAGAAACAGCCCTTAGTAGATCGCTGTGCATTCCTGCCTCATCATTATTAATGGAAACGCCCAGCTTAGTAGTTGATCCTGCATCACTCCTTTCACCTTCAAAGGATGATAAGTCAGTATCTTCCACATTTGATAAAAAATCCTCAAAGTATCTTTCAGCCTCTTCGTCCAGGCATTTTGAAATCCTTACTTTGTCATTGCTTCTCTGATTCAAAAATCAAAAAGTGGAGAGAAGGCAATGTTATCACTTGCACCCAGCGCCATAAAATTAGTAATGTAAACAGTATCTCGCTTAGAAGACGCTCACCAGTGAAGAGGGTGATTGTTTTGCCGGCTCAGCTGTTTGTTTGGGAGATGAAAGCAACTCTCTCACAATTTTACAGAGTTCTTGACCACGTTTCTCCTCGACGGCCAACGCAGCTAGCAAATCCTGTTTGCGTTTCTCGGACTGCGGACGTTGAAGAACTTCAGCGAAATTAATAGAATACTGTAGAAGACGAACATATGGTACAAGTGCTGATCACGCAGCTTTGCAAGCAAATTACATAGGCAATTAAGACAAAATGAAAGTTAGCAGCGTCAAATCCCAGAAGGGTCGAAGTTTAAACAAAGGCGAGGAGCCACTTTAGGATTCAAGTAGATGGTTTGAGTGGTTCTGATCTTTTGGGCTCTCCGAGTCCAAATAAAAGACATTTAGTAGTGTTGATACCCATAAGCACCAAGTTTAAAAACAGCCAGGAACTACTTTAGGATTTCAGCAGACGGTTAAATGTTTCTGATCCTCTCTCTCTCACACACACACATATAACACAAATGAATTGTTTTTTACTTATCTCTTAGGGCCAGTCTTCCTTTTACTTCTCATCTAACATTTAGAAGCATGGAGAATTTGGAGGAATAAAAAACCAAGATGGCACCACAAGGGAGCGAAGTCTATTCTGCAATCAATTAGAAAATCAGTTGTGGCTGATATCTCCACATTTTTTTCTTGAAAAACCTACAATGAAACAAATTTTGATGCTACTTTTTAGTAGCCAAAATTTCTTCATCCTTCATCAGTGATTCTTTTGAAACGAAGGGAAAAGAGGTTTCATCCGACATTCAAAAGAGATTGGTGATGCACGCAAAGTTAAGAAAGGTGTTGGCCATGCAGATGATATCTCTACCAACAAACCTCCCGCATTGTGTAGCATGAGCAACTTTCGACACCTACAACTAGCCATAAATGAGAGGAAGAAAGATGCATGGGACAGCTAGGAAGGAAACGAGTATAATTATAGTGGTGGAAAAAAGTAGGATGATAAGGGCTCTTATAATAAAGGTTTCAAGTTGTTTAAAAAGTTTATTCTCTTGCCCTTTGGAGATGGAAAATTAATCATATACCCAATTTGGGTCGCCCCATTTTTATTGTCGACTCATGAGCAAAGCAAATAAAGAGCGACCTTAAATTCTAATATAATTCAAGCTCAATGAGTCAAAGGTTCATATATCAAGTTAAAATAAGTGAGGAAAATCAAGTTTGGTTTCAGGATAGTCACACCCTAAACCTGGAATTTTTATTGGATCAGATAACCTGATGTAGAGATACATCAGGTAACCAATAAAAAAATATCACATGCACTTACTTTTTGTTTAAAGCTGAGTGCTTTTTGTTTAAAGTGCATGTGGCATTTTTTTATTAAGTACCTGATGGATCTCTACATCAGGTTACCTGACCCAATAAAAATTCCTAAACCTGAGAGTCCATTATTCCGCTATTCTTCGCCCCCTCTGCAGGCCCAATATGTATTTCAAATGCTAATAAGATAGTTTAGGCATGGAACTTTACATAATTATCCCTAACAACTCAATTAACTGCACAGGCCTAGACTTTATAAAGGCAACGATATTATAAAGGTATTATTTAAGCATCATGATATCGTTCTTAGCTTACCTAAGTCAATGAAGTCCCTTGCTTCAAGTACAATATTAAAAACAAAAAGGCAAGACTGAATTTCAGTAAGAAAACCTCACAGTATAAGGAAATATAAATATCATGCTCTACCTCAAAGATGTCAAATCGAGTTTGTATGATTTATAACAAACAGTTAATCACTATAGCGAGTAAAAAGGAAAAAAACTAATGCATGCTAGTATAAATCAATTTTAAACAAAATTTAAAGTCCATCCGGGCAAAGTACCTTTTCAAGCTCCCTCAGCTCTTCTACCAAATTTTGTTCTTTGCTCTTATTTTCATAGGATCTGAACCCACTCCCATCCCTAGCAGGGTGATCTGTCTGAAATGTGGAATATAACATGTAGAATTCTTAGGAAAAAATAATGATAAGGATTTTTCTCAAAAAAAGAAGCAACAAAGACTGTGAAGTAGTTTGAACTCCACATTTCCATGAATATCACAACCAAAATGAAGCAGAATCTGTGGTTTTTCACTCACCTTTCCAAGGTTATAAACTTCTCGTATTGTCTTCTCACTCACACTTAAAGTTGAAGGAACATCCTGTGCTTCATCATCAGTTAAGGATGATGAATGACTCTGAAAACACCAGCAACACATTTAAATGTTTGAAAAGTGTAAATGCACACTATAGAAGGGAAAACCTCCCTTCCTTGGGAAAATACGACCAGCCAATACATCCAGCATGATGAGGCAAGTTTTAAGGAATGCCACTACAGAATGAAGGCACTTACCGAGTAGCAATCCTGTGACTGGAAGAAATCCTTTTGACTCATTGACCTTTCAAAGGCACGATCTACACTAGCTTGCTTAGACAATGAAGGCTTTTGAAGGCTCCCACAAATAGAATTCACTCTATTCTTGCTCATGGATCTTAACTTATCAGTTTTATCATCCTGCAACCTCTGAAGGAACAAAAAGGGAACAGACATGTCGAAATAATCAATAACTAAAACATAAGTAGACCAAAGTTTGTCTGGTACCATTTGCATTTGGGTATAAAATTGGTAGTATAACTCAGATGATAGGAATATCAGACTAGCCAAAAAAAAAATTAAGCAAATTAAAAATCTGAGTCATCCAAATAAGGATGGCCTTTTAAAACAATTTGAACAACAAAACCATGCTCCTACACTAGATTAGCAGACATGAAGGTTTCCAACACACATAGTATCCAACCCATTTTGATGAATAATAATCCAGTCAACAGAGCAATGAACAAAAGGCAGTTGTGTTAGGTACGTTATAAAGCATGCAATAGCAAGTCTAAAGCAAAACTTTAAAGCATACAGATACATGGCTTTTGCACAGATCATCTTTTTATATGACACATTTCTCCTTTCCAGTAGGTAAGGTTATATGAAAGATACAAATAATTGAATTATTTTCCTACCTTAATAATTTCCCCATTTTAACCAATAAGAAGACAATTAATATGCTGGGGCAAACTGCAAGGTCTTTCAAGCCTCATCCAGATAATGATAGGTTCTGTCTACTATTAAGGGCAAGTTTGATCCTAGCTCAAGCCAAGTTTAAGCTTGCATATGTAGGGGAAAAAGCAGGCGTGATAACATCAGTACAATCGAGAACAAGCAAAATAATCTACATGGAGAACAGCCGAAAACAAGAGACAATAGATTTACATGTTTGGGAGATAATCATCTACATCCACAATTGCACAGAGTTGTTTCCAGTAGTTTTAGAGAAAGTACAAGAATATAATATTTGCCCATTCAAAATATTTTTCCTCGTTTTTAACTCACAAGATTTTTCCTCTCTTTGTTCTATTCTCATTTCCCTCTTCTTCTCTCTTTCCAACTCCAATCTCAAAGCAAACATACCAATAACTTCCAAATGAAATCAATAACAGATGAGCATGCATACACACACACACACACATATATATATATATATATAACATTTTTCTCTTTCCTTAATTGAATTTGCCACAACTCCAACCTCATGTAGATTACTACATCAAACAATAATGGGCGACCCATTTGTCCTGCTGGCCCTTGCACCTAACAATCAGCTAACCCCCGGCCTCTTGCCATTGTAAATTGTCGACTTAAATCACTAACTCAAATCGCAAGCCACCTACTCTAACCACTCCAATTGAGAACACATATCGCCACAGACCTCTATGATCAAATTCATTGTAACTCCACATGTCAAGACTGCCAAGCTCACCTCAAGCCAAACCCCACCACCCATTGTAATCTACCTCTAAAGATCACCACATCGGACCGTGCATGTCTCTAAATGTCAAAATCAACGAAACAACTTTGAAGCTCTTGTTGGTGGATGCTATTTTGGACTTTGAGCCTCAAGAAATCAACATGGAAAGTACAGGATATTTATTTTATTTCAACCCAAGCACTCTATCTTAGACTTAGGTTTAACCTAATTTATAAGAATTTGAAGCAATAGCATATAACAATTCAATGAAAATTACAAGGCTTGATTTGAGATAACTTATTTGGTAATAAATACAAATCCTTAAATAAATTTCAACCATAAATCAAGACGTTAAATTTTTACTTCTCCCAAATTTTTAGGAATTATTCAAATTAAAAATATGAATTTAGATTAGGAAAATCAAGGCTCCATATCTTAATAATCTCACATTTGGAGACTAAATTTCCAATGTGTTAGCTCATAAGCAGTAAACCTAGCAAATTCTTAACCATGTATAGCCATCATGCTCTTTTATGATCATAAAATGTAATTTGTCTTGCAATGCCCTCTTATCCTTTAGTAACTCTTTAACAAACCATTTGTCCTGCACTGCTCTTTCTAAGTTCACCAACATTTCTAATGGCTTGTGTTCGTGCATTGATAGACTTATCTTTGTATGTAACAATCTAATTAAATACAACATTTACTCCTAATGATCTGCTAATATTTTTTATTCCAAAATTGATAGGCAAGATGATCCACTTCATATCCAAACAAAAAATAGCCAAAGGATTCCACATGCATATTAGAAAGACAACTAAAAACCCTTAAATGAGAAAGGTTTACATCTTTGTCAGTCCTAACTCATTTAACTAGTTTACAACCCAAAGAAACTGAGTGTCGTCTATTGATCAAATAAATTACAATACTCACATCATCTACCTAAAAAGCCTTGAGAAATCAAACATACAACCTCATGTTCCTAAATATTTCATTTAGAATCTTGTTCAAATGCTCAGCAACCCTCACCTACAATGTTGTCATTAACCATAACCTATGTTATTGTTAGCGTACAATGTCTCTAAATTCTTAATTGTAGTAATATCCCTTGATATCTAATCTCAAACACTTGATCTTTATACCAAACACATTCCCTATTTGACTTTTCTATCTCCAGATATAAGCAAACATAAGATATATATTTCATAAATTTATAGCATCCTAATGTAATCATCAATGAAGGCGACATAGTACAGAGAGCTAATAAGAGATAGCACAAGAGATAGTCCCTAAATATCAATGTATACAAGTTCCAACATCTTTTTATTGGGCCTTCATTTAGCCAATGTGAAACCAACTTTTCATAGGTATAAAACTTTAATAACACATCATTAAGTCGGCATTTAGCTCTCTTCCTCATTGACTCCATCATCCCTATTGCAACCATGGGAGTTGTCTGAGATTCTACAATTTTAGGTGAAATTTTGGCAGTTGGGATTATGAGATAAGGTTATTGTGAATTTATAGACAAACAATAAAATTCAAATCCTTTAGCACTTTTGTCCAACTAGTTTTATGTTCTTTCATACAACCAAAGAAACCAATTCCCTGCAATTTCTATCTTTCTTGTTTGGAGATTTTATAAGAAATAGTGAAATGGTAACTACAGCTGAAGAAAAGAGCTAAGGAATCCTACAGAAAATGCATATCAACAAGTCACGTCATAACTCATATCAAAAAGCCAAATTATTTTTTAAGATGGAAACATGGATGCATAACTTTTTATCTTTCTCTAATTTAAGGCAAGCATAAACGCTTATAATAGGCTTTTTTATCATGTTATTAATGGATTTGGAGTATTGCATTCTAAAAAGTCCAATTGTCCATTTGATGTCATGATATAGAACCCTTTTCCATTAATCTTAAATAATTTTCTTATGAAATACAAACTCTTGGTGACTAACAATTATAATTGCTAGATGTCCAAGCATGTAACTTATATATGTTTAAGGGATTATTATTATTCAATATTGGTTGAGAAGCAAGTTATTCCTAGATATAATAAAGTTATGATTGTTGGATATATCATACAAAAAAGGGATATAGATGGGATATCACTTTAAAATGGAAGATAAGCGAGTATAGCTTAGTATAAAAAATAAAGATGAAAGCTTAAAGATAGATTTTATAAACTATAAATGCTATATTATATGAATCTAAGAGCTAGAAAAAAAGTCATATATAACTAAATTGAATGTGGGAAATATGAAATTGTTGAGATGGAAATGTGATAAAAATAGAAAGCATCATGTGAGTAATGAAAGAGAGCTTGAAGTTGGGTCTATTTTGCCAAACATCTTAAGCTGAAAAATACATTCAAGGAAAGAACATATGTCCCACTCTTCATGGACAAAAATCCGATACCATTCCAAGGGATTTGAAAACATTTGTATCAGTTTTTACTTATCAAAAAGCCCACAACTCGGAACACCAACCAATTTACCTCCAATTCGCTGAGTCGAGATCGAGAAACTGAAACAGACCGCCGCGGCCTCGAATTCACACTACTACCAGAAACGCTCTTCCCCTTTGACGCCGCACTATCAGCACGATACCTCGATACCGACCTTCCTCTCCGACGAGAAGACTCCGTCTCCGCCATCAGCCTTTCCCCAATCACCCGGCGACGAGATCGACCAGCCACAGGAGTAGCATCTTCCTCACACTCCTTCGCCATCGCTTGAAAGAACTCGTCCGCGAGATCATCAAGACTGGTATCAAGGAACCCAGAACCCCTCACCTTGTTCACAAACCTCCCTCTCGGCGTCTCATACTCATCAATCTCCTGCGAAGGAGGCGGGAATCGGCCGGAACAGCGGCTCAAGCTCCTCGAACGGCGGATACAATTGAACGAACCGGCAACCTCCGTACTGCCATTGAAGGGACGCCGGCCGTTCGATCGGAGTGCCGCTGTCGCCATTTCTCGGAGAAAATCGTTGGGATCTCAGGGGATCGAATCCCAGCAGAGAGGGTTCGAATCGGGCATTTTGAATGCTTGTAGGTTACAGATTTGGTAGCATAACGGACAGAGTGCAGTAGAAAATCTCACGCGAGGGAGACGACGGAGAAATTCAAGAGCGAATATCCTCACGCTGCTTTCAGGGTTATTCGGGTTACTTTCGCACTGAATTTAGCGGGCACCGAGTACATATATTAGCATATGCGCGTGAGGTTAGCATAATTTGAAGGGAAGATTCGTAAGCAATTGTTCATAAAATTGCTGAAAATTACGTTGGTGCCATTGATCGCAAACACTGAGGCGTTTCAAAACTTTTTTTTTTTGGGACATTTAGGCCATTTAAGGCAAACTCACACATACAACGCATACACATGGACTCGAACTTTGGATCTCTTAGTTGGAAGCCTAAGCTCTCAACCAATAGGCCAAGAAGAGTTGTGTAGGCGTTTCAAAACTTCAAAATTTTTTTCAGTCTGCCGACATCCGGTCATGTGAGCTGAAAAATTACTCAATGAGGACATCATACGGTGTTCCGAGTCACATAAATTGGTACATAGTGGTATTGGATGGCGGTTTCGAGCAAAAAAATGACGTGATGTATGCAGATTGGTCTCTGAATGCTGTCCGAGCACAAAATAATCTTTTCATGTGAGCAATAAAAATTGGAATTTTTTTTATTTAACAATTTTAATCCTATTTTTAAAAAATAAATGATATATTTATAATATAGAAAAATTTTTAAAATAGTCTCCACACAATTAATGTATGATCAATTTAATCTAAAAGTATCATATTGCCCCAATTTAATCCCTCAATTATATAAAATTGATTCAAATTTGTCATTTTTTAAATTATTATATAAAATTAATCTCAATTTATTCCCTCGACTGCACAAATTTGATCTCAATTTAGCCTCGAATGAACAATTTTGGATTAATTTTATATAGTCGAGAGACTAAATTGGAGAAACGTTATATATACTCTGAGATTGACATAGTCATATTTGAACAATTGGGAGACAATATGTTCAGGGTTAGCTCATTAAAATTTGAGCGGATCACAAATCAATTTTGAACAACTAAAAAAAAAATAAAGAGTAAGGTCATTTGATTATGATAAACCAATCCAAATTAAAACCAACGAAAACAAAATCCATCTGATTCCAGATTAAAATCAAACACAGCTTAACTTAATCAGATCAATAAGTTTATCCTTTCCAAATCTAGCACTTAATCATCTCATTGTACTCATATAAAAGCCTTCTAAGAAAATCTATCAAGCGAGGTAGGTGAGGAAAAATTATTATGAGAGGATGTCGAACATGTCCGGATGTCAATCAAGAGCCACCACGTCACGTAATGCACAGTGCATTATGTGACATGGCAGCTCATAATTGACCGAATGCGTTCAGCATCCTCACGTAATAATCTCTTTAAACTAGGTGGCTGCATACTTTTCCCCTCTTGCAAACCATAGTGCACAAAGTATATGATTGTTGTGATCAATGCTAATTTTTTTTCATCATATATTCTATTGAAAAATGCTATCGTAGACCATCATCAAGAAGTTTATGATACAGTAACAGCAAGAAGACAAAGAGAATTAATAAGGCAGAACAGAGAACGTATTATTTCATGTCCTCTGTTACAGGTATAACACTAGTATATATAGACATTTGTGTTTCAGTGGTACACGTGTATAACTGTTATTGGAACTATTTGTATACCAGCTGATGTGGTATTATTTGAGTTGTGCTTTATCTTCTAATAATCCCCCACAAACTGATGGATTGGGAACAATCATCAGTTTGAATCTTAACTCTTGAAACCTTGGAGTGGTTAGCGGCTTTGTAAGAACATCAGCAATTTGATCAATTGTACTTATTAGTAGTAGCCGTATGTTGTTGGTCTGAATTTGATCGCGAACGAACTTATGATATATCTCAATATGTTTCGTACGAGCATGAAAGACCGGATTGTTTGTGATAGCTATAGCCGAGGCGTTGTCGCAAAAGAGATCAGATGACTCATTATGACTAATATCAAAGTCATTAAGAAGTCTTTTCAGCCACAGTATGTCTGCAGTAGCTGCCGCTAAAGCCCTGTATTTAGATTATATCGATGATCTTGCCACTGTGGTTTGTTTCTTAACAGACCAAGATATAAGAGTCTTACCAAGAAATGAACAGTAGCCCGACGTTGATTTTTTAGAGAGTGGATCTCCTTCCCAGTCAGCATCGGAGAAGATTTTTAGTTGTATATCAGATTTTGTAATAGGCAGTCCATAGTCTTGAGTTCCACGTATATACCTGAGAAGGCGTTTTAGCATATATGTATGATATTGGGATGGTTCATGCATATGCTGCGAGAGAAAATTAACTGCGAATGCAATATATGGACGTGTGAACGTCAGATATTGAAGTGACCCAGTGATACACATGTAAGTGTTTAGATCTGATAGCAAAGGATCAGCAGTAATATTTGTAGGCATTTTGGTACACGTGGGATTAGATAAGGGATTGTACTGAGCTAGTCTTGCCTGCTGAAGAATAGACTTTGTATAGGCAGTTTGTGTGAGAAAATGCTGATATGTACTTGATTTAATCTAAATTTTGAGAAAATTGTGTGCTAGGCCAAGATTTTCATAGTAAATCTTGATTCAAGTTGCTGAATGAGATGAAATATAGCTAATTTATTGTTGCCAGTTAATAGAATATCATCTAAGCATACAAGTAGATATATTCTGGTGTCATCTTGTTTGAAAACTAGAAGCGACGGATCAACCTTCCCCTGTTGGAAACCAAGTGAAACAAGATAATTTGTGAAAGTAGTATACCACTCAGGGGCGGAACCAACCTTAATTCTTAGGGGGGGGGCAAAATTATAAAAAGATAAAAAATATATATTTATAACAAAATTCAAACAAGATATTATATTGCAATAAAAATTACAAGCTTTTGTTGACCTCATTTTTGTATGAGGTCACTTGGACCAATCTTGCCCCTAAATTAATTCAATTCCCAAATCAATCTAAACTCTAGGATTCTCCTAGATCCAGACCTTAGGATCTACCCAGATCTTTGAAATCCAAACCAAAATTCAAGGCTAAAAAGGGAAGTCCTAAAAGCCTTTTTCAGCAAATTTTCAAACACTTCAAAAACCAATCAAATGATATCCGATTTAGAGTCTGTCAGTTGCATACTGATGGGACATGTCTCTGGAGGAAACCCTCCAAATTTGAGCCCATTTCGAGGTCTCTAACCTCAAAAACTAAATCAAAATCCAAAGGCTGTAAAACCTTCAAATATTTACAGCCTATGCCCCTGGACCTATCACCTTGAAGATTCTGACCTTAGAGCCTTCACCAAAGCCTCTAGTCACTTCCAGACCATTAACCCTGATATGTTGAACAATAAACTGAATTTTTCTGGACTCATTTCAGCCCCTAGTGGTCATGAGTCCAAAATGACCAAAATACCCCTATGGGGGCTCAAATAGTGATTTCAAACCAAACGACCTCTAATTTGCTTGGAATAACTTCCAACAAGTTTCAAATGCCATTTTAAACCTGTCTGACCCATTTCCAGCTCTTGAGTCAACCTGATTGACCAAGTCAACAGAGTTGACCCAAGAAGACCCTTAAGGGTTCAAATTGGGATTTTTACCAAATTGACCCTTTCAAACCCCGAAACCA